ACACACACACACACACACACACACGTATACAGATGTTCACGGTGGTGTGATATTTAGTTTAATGTGCAAGTCTTGGTTGGGCTATTTTCTCCATTTAAAAGTCAGCTTCCACTATTTGTTGATTACAATGAGCCACGTGAACAAGCACTTAACAGAATGCTTTATAAGGACCCGTCAAAGGAAAACAGCTTTCCTCTGTAGCTACGAAGCAAAGCTCTCTCTTGTTTTTAGCACTTGTTTTAATTAGCATGGGTGTAAAAGGGATACTCATTAATGCGGGAAAACATTTGAAAGCTTCTGTGCATGTCATTCCCTTTCCCATCACATAATTGAACACATGAAACGGCTGTAATTAGAGGCTTTGTCTGTGTGCGCATACATGCGTGTTTGAGCATATGCTCTGATACACATGCACACACACGCTCGCAATGGTGAAATTTGTTTCATAAGTTAATCTCTGAGCCACCACTCACCGTTCCTGAATTTACATATTTCTTCTTCTTCATCTTCTTCTTTGGATTCACCACCTAAGAGCCATTGGAAAACAAATCAGAAATCAAAATAAGTTCAGACAGATGAGATTGTGCAGAAGTGAGATTTAGATTCATTAAACAGATAGCAAACAGCCTTTCCTCTCACAGGGTGGTGCCTCAAAAACAAATCAATTATATTTATTTGGAAAATGCCACCACCTGCGGAAGATGTGGGAAACACTGAAAATTAAAGCCTTGCTCTGAGTTAAATGTGATTTCACATTGCATTCTCCACTTCTCAGTCCTAAAATGTATCACAGTTATAAAGAAGAACATTTTATGAAGAAAATATCAGTAGTATTTGTATATTTTGAATCCAACTGCAGCAACCTAAAAACTTGCACTAAGAAACTGAAGAACAGTTCACCCAAAAAATCTATTAAAAAAAACAAACAAACTAATTTTAAAAAAGTGTCAATGTTGTTTTGTACCCCACTGAATAGACACTATATTGACTAAACAGATATACTGTATATTTTTTTGTTTTTCAGTTACAGGTTCTGAACAACATGAGTAAATGATGACAGAAAATTTATTTTGGGTGAACTATCCCTTTAAGAACAAATGGTGCCACCAAATTAAGAACATGATGAGTTAATATAATATAATATGATATATAATACACATTGGGAGTTATACAACACTTATGAACAAAGCACAAGTTTTGAGTTTTGCACTGAAGTGTACGCAACAGTAATAGTGTTCCTTGCCTTTTTATGATCTATGTAAGCAATGTAAGCAATTATTTTTTTCCTATATATTATATCCCACATATATTTTGTTAGAAAACATGAAGGAATGCTGGACAGGCTATCCATTTTATTGATGAAATGGAGCTGGGAAGATAGATTTGGTCAAGATTATTGTCACTAGAAGTAAGAATGAAAGAGAGGCAGAGCGAGGAAGAATAAGACAGATAATGATGCTGGAAAGCACACAAATGAAAGTGGAACCATGCAGGTGACCTCTTAGCTGTAAGGGGTGAAGTACAGAAGAATGGACCAGCAACCCCTGGTCATCCTCCATTCATCTCCAAACACAAAGTAATCAATAGCTCAAATAGACTCTTTGTGCTCAGATGGATGCAAGGATCTGGACATGAAAAGAGTTTTTGAATATGTTCTCTGTAGACTCATGACCCATCGACCCTTCAGCTTCACAAAAGCCTAAGAGGTGAGATTACAGAGTAGAAATTTATAAGATGTAAATCTAAAGACTCTTTGGTGTATAAAAAGGTCATGTACTGTAATAAAACGTTTTATTACACTGGAATAACTGCTTTAGTACACTGTAATTACATAATTTCCTACAAATGCTCCAGGGAAAACAACATCTTATGTTCTGAAGTCACCAGAACTCATTCCAAGGTCAATAAACCAACTTGACACGTTTGTTTAAGCCTCAACTGCTACCTCCTAAAGCGACACAATGAATGTTTTATCAGCCCTGATTGCACAGCTCCCAACAACATTTTCACAGGCCACCTGAATCACTGCTTCATCTGCCATGAGATATTTTATAATGTGTTGGTGATGTGTTGGCATCAACACATTAGAAGGTAGGAGTGCTGGGAATGCTTGCGATATCAGATACCATACTTTGGAGAAGGGATGTAAATCCCTGTAATAATTTGAAATCCCGGGAACGCTCTTATTGTAATCCCCATTTGCATGCTTTCCAAGGGCTTTGATGACTGTACCGTCCATGCAATTACCAGAGAAAAACAAAGAAGAGACTTTTAGATACCTGCGACACTGAATGTGGATGGGGGTGGCTGAAGAAGGAGTGTGAAATATCCATAAAAAGATTCTTGATTTAGAAACTGAAAAGCACAGTCTCTCAGAGTCTCTCAGACTGAGGAATCAGTTTTAAATTGAGAATGAACATATTTCAAAGTATAGAGAGAAGACCAGTGGCTTTCATAGGTGATTGATGTGTTAGCTGAAAAATTTAAAGCATCCATATGGCTTGGAATATTTGTCTTGCTACATCATTTTGAGTAGTTTTTATCTTGTAACACATTTTGAGTGTTATGGCTGAATAAAAAAAAAATGAAAGTCTGCTTTCTAATGATATAATTATTAAAGATTAAAATAATAATTCTATGTGGTCGACGTCTCACCTCATAAATGTTGAACTGGCTCTGACCTCTGGCTAACTCTCTGTAGCTCTCTCAGACTGAGGAATCAGTTTTAAATTGAGAATGAACATATTTCAAAGTATAGAGAGAAGACCAGTGGCTTTCATAGGTGATTGATGTGTTAGCTGAAAAATTTAAAGCATCCATATGGCTTGGAATATTTGTCTTGCTACATCATTTTGAGTAGTTTTTATCTTGTAACACATTTTGAGTGTTATGGTTGAATAAAAAAAATGAAAGTCTGCTTTCTAATGATATAATTATTAAAGATTAAAATAATAATAATTCTATGTGGTCGACGTCTCACCTCATAAATGTTGAACTGGCTCTGACCTCGGGCTAACTCTCTGTAGCTGGTGGTGAATTCACCGATGAAATCGTGGCTAAAACATGGGAAGATTCACAGATTCACTACAGTGAAATATCACTTCAACTCTTCCTTTGTAATTCACATCAAAAGCCAGGCATCAGCTTACCTGCCGTCACGGTCCCAGTCATACACTTCCACTTTGATTGTTCTGGAAAACAGAAAAAGCTCAGGTATGTTTGACAAATCAATATACTCTGAGGGGAGAATTCACTAGGAATTTGCATGCACTGTCTGCATTGTTTTAGCAATTGATTTACTAAAGGAATTATGCAGATTAGGTAATGGTGTCAACACTGCCAAACATCAAAAGCTGAAGGTAATTTGAATGGCATAATTCCTGTACATCACTGTGATGTTCAGGAATCTTCTCACCAGATATCTGAATAGGCTCTTTAAAGCACTTAAAGTGCAATCAACTTGACTGTGTGTCTGTTTGACCACTCATAATGCTCTTCTTCATTATTTAATAAATAACTGCTGCCATGGTCCAAAGAAAACGTAAGAACCCACAAGAACATGTATTTTAATCAAATTCAGTTTACCACCTGCTTTTTGTACAAGAATAGCAATGGTAATTGCATCAGGAAAACAGTGGTGGGTTTCATATCTACTGTATAATGAGCTTAATTTACATGAAATTATAACACATAAATTGTAACATAATTAGAGATGAGTTTAGCATGTATAGGGCGATGATGCATCATCCGATATATGGAAAGAAAATAAATAAATAAATACCAATCTTAATAATTTGTTTACTTACGTTTGCAAATTAACTACAATATATTTTATATCATTTCAAATGGTTAAAAAATACTTTTGTTATTTGAGAATTTAGTCAAGTAAAACAATCCTATAATTAAAATTTCATTAAATTCAAACAAAATACTATAAAAGATTCTAACATCCAGCATAATATAAATTATTATGATGGAAGAAAGGATCATTTAAGCTCAAAACTTTTGGAATAAGTCTCACAAATGTTGATGTAACTAAATGTCATCTTAGCACATTTGATCGTGTCTATGATCAAAAGAAAATTACAAGTGATTAAAAGTTAGCATATATTTACCATATATTTAACACTTTAGTACAACAGATAATAATGACAAAATCAGCCTTTTCCAAGAAAATAATGAACATTATGTTGTGCTGATTTAGGGGGATTTCATGGATAATCAATTTAGAGACTTGTGCAAGACTTGGATTGAACTTATTTCACTGTGCTTTGATTGGTCTCTTGCTGCTAAGGCCTAAATTGAGTCATCAGTCACAATTAAACAAAAGCAGCGCAGGTCTGCGAATGCATCCTGTGGCAGGTGTTCACTCAATGGCTTACATCAACAAGATTTGCTGAAAAAATAAAGCTAGCTACTGCCCATATTAATGAGGACGGAAACACAGGCTCTTAAAGCTTGCTCATTAGCTTGACTGAGAGGCATTTCAGAAAACTCTATAGACCGGCAAAAAAAAATCTGTTTCTGTTTACTTCCTGTCTGCAAACAGTCCGGAACTCCCACACAAATCATTACAGTCACTTATAGAGAAAGTGAATCATTCTTATGATTACACTGAGTCAATGCCCAGAGGGCACAGTGTTTCTGGAATAAAAGCACAAATGAATGTCATGGGGTTGGCTTGCTCAGTTCTGCTGAGTTGTCTTGATGTTTACTTTGGGGTAAACAAATGAGTGGGCTAATATGTCCCTCGATATCTATAAATGTATAAAAAATGTAAAAAGCATACTGTGAGAAGTTAATATCTTTCATGGTGTTCCAAACCTGCACGACTTATGTTTCTTTTGTGAAACACATACAGGGTCCAACACTGTTTTGGACCCCATTTACTTTGTACACTTTCAGAAAAAAAAATGGTGCAAAAGCTGTCACTGGAGTGGTACTGTCATGTTCCCTGACAGTAAGAGAGTGCAGAGTCCCTAGGCAGCTGTCTATCAAGCCTCACAACAGAGGAGAAGAAAACAGCGAGGACGGGAAGCGGGAAAGGAGCTGTGCAGAAGACATTGAAGACTGAAGGTACAATCCAGAGCTGTTTTTAATTCCCATGCACTGACCTCAAACCAAAACGTTGATCCGAGTTTCTCATCTCTTCGGGAGTTGCATGAAAAATGCGTTGTGTGGGATTGGAAAGCCACACCGAATGTCAACACCAGCGTTTATTGCAAAACTGTGGTAGTCTCTTGATTAAACATTCATATATTTTGAGCTGCATTTTCTAAGTCTGTTTGACAGTCATCATTTGCTAGTGGAACATCAGTGAAAATTTGATTCCTCTGGAAATTAAAAAAAAACTTCAGCCTAAGGTTTTCATAGATAAAATGAGGTATATATCCTCCCTGAGGTTTATTCTTAGTCTAAAGTAGAATATCTGTGATTCATTTTATTACTGTCTCAAATTAATTGAGATCAGAATAAAACCATGGAGACGTGTGGAGGGTGTTTCGTATCTACTCTTTTGAAGCTTGGAATAGAATGGATGCACACTGACATCTATTTTAATGGGCTCTGGAGCTATAATTTGTTACCGTCTACATAAATGGCATGGGTGATGTATTGACGCCGTCCTGTTTGGGAATTTCATTCACACAGATCGGCACAGTTCCCCAGGAGACTGTGGTGGCACTGCAACATCATGTAATTTATGTTCCATATATATATTCACTGTCCTGGTTTATTTCCCCACTGTTAACACTCTTTCATGATGTGTATGGCCTGTCAAAGATACAGCAGTCCCTGCTAGGTGGAGTGCCAGGGCTCTGCAGTATGAGCCAGAGCAGACAGCTGGACACAGAAAGAGATGTGCTGAAAGCATTTTTATATTTATAAATGAAACAGGCTATCTCAGGATTTGTATCACAGAGTTAAGGGCGTCGTCTCTGCAGCCAATCCGGTGTCGCCCTGCTGGTTAAAGGTCTCTCGGCGTGCCGTGCTGAGGATCTCAGTGTGTGTATGCAGGTGTTTTGAGTCGAGACCTGTGTTTAGAGTTTGTATTCTTCCGTTGTGAATGTGAGAACCTAATGCTTGTTTTTTTTTTTGCACTAGCCAGATTCTGAGTTGAGCGTTGATAAGAGTTAACTGTTCTCTTCTTTTACTGGGGGGAATGGGGAACAGATTAGCGTATCGCGCGACCTAAGATACATATTGCCCGCAGCTAACAAGTGTTAGACACACTAGGTAAGAGCTGAGCGCCTTCTTTGTACTTTTGTTTTGTAGTCAGTGTAGTTTAGTTGTGTAACGAATCATCCACTGAAGGCGAGTTGAAGTGAGAACCCAAGTGCAGTTTTATTTACAGTGATCCAAACATCCAAACATAATCCAAACAGACGAAGACTAGAAACAATAATCCGTGACTTGACTTGACATGAAAGACATGAACATGAACCAAAACCCAAACACCACATTACAAGAAGAAACATAGTTATTTCAACAAAAAACATCAAATTTGAAATGTAACGCAGGGAATTCTGGGAATGTAAATTTACAGTTATTCACTGTAAATTATACGGTATTTTTCACTTCCATATAGTAGGGGAATTTACCGTTAACCATTTAACAGGTTTTTACTGTAGCATTTTTACAGTCTTTTACCGTTAAATCCACGGTCATTTTTTACAGTGTGGCGTTGCATACGCCGAAGATTTCGGGTTTGTTTTCTACGTTTTTCTTTGGTTAGTTAAGTTAGAGGGTTTTGGGAACTATTTTGGTTTATTTCTTTTGTTGATTTGGCGCCACCCTCGTTCCTCTTTTCCCCTTAGTTTAATGTATTCTTCTTACTTTTGTTTTCTAAATCATGCATTGTATATAGCTCACACACTGTTTACTGGCTTCGGCTTGAGGAAATTAAAACATTTAATTGGGTTAAATGCTATTTGTGCCTGGTTCTTTCTACAATCTCCACCATCACAGCAATAGTAATAACTAAATGTTACGTTCCAACCCCTGGAACCTTAAAGATCGTAACATACATCATTATAGCAGATGTTCAGATCTTTGTATGCAAACACTCTTGAACAAGCTTTTTAAAAGGCAAATACTGGCTGGCTATTCTTCACATCACACTTGTTTATGGTCTTGTATGTGTAGCACTTATCAAGTTAATTTAAAAATAATAAAATAAAATAAAAAGCATACAAGGGCATACAATACAAAATAAATGAGACGATAAGCCAGTAATGTTATTGATAACTAAAACGCAGTCTATATTAAAACATTATTTTAGATAACTGAAAGAAGCTGAAAAATATATAAATATTACTGGTAGATGAAAAAATAAACATGAAATAAACCAATTAAAGCTAAACAAAAATATATATAAACTAATAAAAATGACAAAAGCACACAAAAAACACTAAAACCTCATGGGACTCGTACCCGATCACTCTACATTGCAAGTGCAGTGCTGTACCAGGTGAGCTACCGAGCAAGTTTACTTCAACAGAAAATCCACACATATGAAGCTAGTTATGTGATGCAAACATCAAAATGTTTTAGTCTACAAATCATGCACTATGCTAATAGTTTCTATGTTTTACTGCCACTAATGTTTATTTCAACTGGAAACTGCAGTGAATTGTACAGCATAGGTACGTAGGTAGAGTCATGTTTTTCCAAAGAGCTTATGTTGCACACGTCACATGTCTCATATTTCATCTCAAGCTCTTCTTCTGCTGTCTCCTTGGTAACCAACTACACTTATCTTTTAAATCTATATATATATATTAGTAGCAAAATTGTTGGTTGTGTTGGAAATGGCACATTATATATAATTTTATCATAATGAGGACATAAAAACAACTACATTTATTAAAAGATCATGTTGTTGAAGAAATAGCCGTACAAAAATTATTAGTCAAGAGACCTAATGGTGTTATGTAAGAAACCCACTGCTGGTCTGTGTGTCTTACCTGTCATAGTCTCCATTACAGAGAGCTCTGACTGGAATGGTGAACGGCTGCCAAACTGGGTTGAGGGTGTTCTTCACCACCTCAGTCTTATGGCAGATCGTAAAGCTTCATGTTGAGAGAACAAACAGAAATACAAAGACGTGAAGGCACTGTGTAACTTCTGAGGAAACTTGAATATGACTGGCATCAGCCACCTGCTCTGTTTATCTCATGGTGGTCGAAGCTGACAAACCATATAGACTACAGCATCAGTAAGCAAAGTGTTACTTTGCTAACACTTTTATAAACATCACATTGTTTTTTTTAGACTTTGGAAATTACATATTTATCATTGATAAGCCTTAAGTTTCATGTCAATAATATAAATGGTCTCCAAAGACATTTGAAATTTTAGTCAAACTAGATACTAAAATAACATTGTTAAATAAAAGAGATTATTTAATATGTGATAAATAGCCTCTTCATCAGTGCCCAAGAGCATCATTAAAATACCCTAAACCTGTTAAAGTACAATCTGACTCCTCTGAGCCTCTGCACAGATTTTTTAGTTGCTCCGTTGAGTATTTTTGCTCTGAAAGACAAGATGGGCACACTACATCATGGCTCTTGAAAAAATGAAGCCGCGGTCACTCAAGTAAAGACGCTTTGATGGGGAACTCTGGGTAACACCAGGATAGAAGGCCTTTTTCTCTTCCTCTGTACGCACACGGAGAGTCATTTTCAGCCCATAAATTCCCCACAGAGCAGCAAAATGTTTCGCCAGTCTCACAGTACAGGGGTGAGGGTGCTGGGTATCATGGAAGATGTTCCTTTCACAGTACCTATGTCTAACACACAGCTGTGGTGTTTTAAACCAAGGTAGGACACTTACGTGCCATCTTCGTTGCTTCTGTAAAAGACCATGAAGGGATCAGATTTCCCGAAAAAGTCCTTCTTGTCCAATTTGTTGGCACAGAACTGCATGGTTGCGCTGTCCTATAAAGAAAACAACAACAAACGTTTTAAGGGAAATATTTTAAAATATAACATATATATTATAACATAATATAAAATATTATTATTATAACCACCCATAAAAACCTTCACGTGGCACAACATTTTAAATAAATGCAATATATAGGGTAAACATTTTATTTTAATTTAAACAATAATATTTTTAATAATAATTAATGTTCTTTTTTTTCCTGCTGCTATGGGGTGTTGACAGCAGCAACACAAAATCTGCATTACAATTCGGAGAGAATAGAACCAAAACACTTTAATCTAATTCATCTGGGTGAACGGGAGGCTCATTACAGCTCGATCAGTGATCTTGTTGAAGCGAACACACAGAAACGAATGAAGTCTGTAAAGCTTTGGGATTTGAGCTCTATTCAGTGATGAAGAGTGCTGGTCTATGATCAGCTTCTGCTTCACCTGTCACTATGAATATAACCATGACTGCAATGTAGAAACAACTCTGGATCAGCAGTTTCATGCTACGATCATTTTGGATGCGAATAAACTCATGCTTGTAATTTTTGGATTGCCCCTTGAGATCAAAGGTAAAGCACATTCAGTGCAAAGATATGACTACTTCAACTAGAAGCTGGCCATTTGAGAAATTATTCTATCCTGTTATTAAATTAGACTGCAAGTTCTGAAGGTTTGAAAGCTTCAAAGAGACATAAAGACATTTAGTTGTACAAACTAAATGTGTCTTTTACTGTGTTATACCTATGTATGTCTGCACTATCATGTATGTCTGCACTATGTTTGTACTTTCTTCTACACTGGAAGCTCCTGTCGTCAAGTCAAATTCCTTGTGTGTGTAAACATACTTGGTAATAAAGCTCTTCTGATTCTGATTCTGAAACACTGGCTGAATATCTAATGGCTGTTGTTTGCAGGGGCCATTTCTCTAAGGAGACATAAGAGTGCTTCCTAAAAAAACCTGGATGAGAAAATAATCACCAGTACCAAAAATGAGAAAAATTATGTAATACAAAACGTCTCCAGGTTACGAATGTAACCATGGTTCCCCGAAGGAACAAGACGCTGCATCGGAAAACGATTTGGGAACGCCTTCAGCATGACCACGCTCTGAATCACATGTAAAATCAGTCCAATGGAAGGGCTAGACGTCACAGGTGGGTGACGTGGAGACCAGGAAGCTATAAAGCACGTGCAGTGGAACCGGCGTCAGCTTCTAGGAATGAAGCAAGCGCTCACAGGGATGCCGGAAGTATGGCACTGAGACACAGCATCTCGTTCCCTCTGGGAACCATGTTTACATTCATAACCTGGAGACGTTCATGGCACTGAGACGCTGCGTCTCGTTCCCTTGGGGAACCATGGTTACATTCATAACCTGGAGACGTTCCCCTTCAGGAACTCGAGCTGCGTCGGAAAACGCTTTGGAAACGAGTATGCCCACGTGGCCAGACATACAAATCCCTGCCTATTGTGGAAGAGCACAGCTAAGGTGAGAGAAAGGAGCCAGGAGTGGTGCAGAATGCAGGTAGGCACCTGACAAAGTAGGCGGGGACATCCCGCCCAAAGGCCAACTTCAGAAGGAGTGAGCCTTGACCCCCAAAGGAGAGGGGAGATCAGAGGACTCGAGGCTATGGAATAGCATCCTAATCCACCACTTAGCATAAGCTTCTCTGGCCAGAGGCCTCAGCCTCAGCGTACCATGGAGGAAACATGTAACTAGAGGGTGTCTGCCCACTGACTGGCCATCGATAGGGGCGTGGTAGGCCGCAACATCCGCCACATAGATTTTCAAGGTGGAGTGGGTCAACCCTGCAGAGTCTCGGGCCTGCAGGAACTCTCCAGGCGGGGGTGAAGATAGTACCCTCCGCCTGTGAGAGGAGATCCCTCCTGACGGAAATCTCCCATGGAGAGCCATCGAGAAGGGAAATCAGGTCCGAGAACCATACTCTGACCGGCCAGAACGGGGCTACTAACAGTAGACGGACCCCGTCCCGGCACACTCTCTCCAGAACTTCTGGGAGCAGAGCGATCGGGGAAAAAGGCATACAGACGAAGCATACAGACGAAGCCTCTGCCACGTCTATACCATAGCGTCCAGTCCGAGAGGGAGAACCAGAGGGGACAGTGGGAGTCACAAACAGATCCACCTGAGCCTGGCCAAAAACTCTCCAAATTTGCTTCACCACCTCGGGGTGAAGTCTCCATTCCCTGGGCCTCGGCCCCTGCCTCGACAGGATGTCTGCTCCCATATTGAGATGTCTGATTCTCTCAGTGAGAGGAGTTTTCCCTGGGACCACACAAGGATCTGGTGCACCAGCCTGTAAAGAGGGTGCAAACGCAGACCTCCCTGGTGGTTGTTATAAGAGACCACCGCTGTGTTGCCTGTGCGCTCCAACACATGGCGATCTCTCGATCTCCTATCTATCTATCTATCTATCTATCTATCTATCTATCTATCTCAATAAATTAGAATGTCGTGGAAAAGTTCATTTATTTCAGTAATTCAA